AGAAAAAGAGGGCGATGAGAAAGAGAGAGAGTGAAATTGACAGAAGAATATAGTCATTGGAATTATAAACAAAAAGAGTGTAAGGCAGAGGAGAGAGATACTGTGTCACATGGTCACACACATATACGCACACGTGCACACAGATGTTTAAAGAAATGCAACACGTATACTCCTGCTAATTGTGTATTCAGTGACAGGACACATACATATTTCTGCAAACTTCAAGGGTGAACCGTCCAATAAAGTTCGCAAGCTCTGCAACAAATCTACATATGCTCAATGAAAATTTCTTTAAACTTTCCCTTTTAATTTTCATTCATTTTCTTTTTTGCCTTTCATCAAAATTTACTAACCTCCGGGAGACAAAAGCATCTAATTAATATTTTTCAATGATATGAAGTTAAACGACTATATTGAATCAGTTGCTAGGTCTGCTGCTAGGAAAGTTGATTCACAGTGCCGGGAAAATGTTTCTCACCAGTCACATTTATAAGGCTACCATTCAGCCATCCATTTAATATTGCTGTCACATCTGTTCTGCTTTCGCTATGCATCTCGGCTTCAGTCACTTTCCCAACACTGAAATGCAGCTTCCTTGTGCCTTTTCTATGAATATTTTCATGGTAAATATTTTCAGAACTAATGACCTTTCCTCTTTGATAATTTGACCTTACGAATTTAGGTGCAATAATAGATTGGCAGTTAGGTTTCATTTTACTAATGAAATTGCTAGATGTGACCATAATTTCTATGGTAACGATTTATTCTCTCAAACTTCTTACTCTCTTCTGGATTCTTTCTTTGATCTTCCAAAATCTAAATGCAATGTCAATCGTCATCATCTGCCTCCTTAATTCTTGTTGTTTTTGTTATCGCTTTAATAATTTTTTTTTTTAAATTTTCATATACTTTTACTGTTAGTAATCACCATTTTAGTTTTCATTTTATAATTAAAAAAAAAAAACAAGGATCATAACATTCATCGAGTGATTAATGGGTGTTTAAAATTTAGTCAACGAAGGGATTTCGCCATTTTATATCATTAACTTTACTTTTTTTGTATGAATGATTCATCGTCATATAAATTAAACGGCACAACATACATAAGCGAATGTAATGGATTCGACTGGAAATCGAACTCGGCTCTCCAATTCCTCAATCCGAACTACTATCCACTGTACCTCCACTTATACTCGTATCATATATTAAGTTATGAAATGCAATTAAGTCTCTCTCTCACTATATATATATATATATATATATATATATATATATATATATATATATATATAAAAAAACAGTTTGAAAAAATCCATAAACATTTTGAAAAATCCTGCGAATTTCAAAATTAAAATTCGTAGGTTAAAATGGTCATTTACTAAATGTATCCAATTGCAAAGTGTGTATATATATATATATATATATATATATAAATAAATATATATATATATATATATATATATATATATATATATATATATATATATATATATATATGACGTCACACATTATGAAATGGACAAAGTCTGACAATTATTTTCATAAAGAATATTCGTCCTCCGAATATATATATCGGTGGACGAATATTTTCTATGAAAAATTTCTCGGACATTCAGGCCGGTAAATGTTGTTTAATACTGTTTATTATACACAGAGCATTTACTTAAATACTTGTATCTATAAAAAGAATGTATAAACATAAAATGACTTAATATATATATATATATATATATATATATATATATATATATATATATACATATTCTCTTAAAGTATAACTCTACCGGAGTATAAAAAAAGGAAACAGATAATACAATTTGTAAATAAAAAGTATTAGACAAACTGATATTTGGGAAAAAATTCAATAAAGAAACTAAAATCTAAAAACATCCGTACTGACTGAAAAAAATCAACCAGCAGCACTATGTCTAGTCACAAGAAAAAAACACAGACAAAGTTACCTAAGTTGAACGTAAAAGTGCTCAATACAAAGTAGAGCAAAATTAAAATACCTAAAGAGCCAGAACATATCTACCGGATCATCATGATAATATATATATATAGTATAGGATTGGAGTATACGGAATAAATTCAAATAACCAAAAATACTATTTTTAAAACTCAGAGTAGAGCAAATATAATTTATTCGAAAATTATGACATAAATATGTTATAAAATCACTACAAAAATAGCCATTTTGTTTCACCACTTCTGGTGTCTTATCATGTGATGTCGTTGAATGTAGATTAGAGGGTTTTAAAAGGTTCAAATCGACCAAACTCCATTCGCTAGGGGAAACGCTGTTACATAAGCTGGAATGACCAATCAAAATACAAGTATATAAGAATTCAAAAACTTGACAACGAACTTTGGTCATAATAATTAATGCCTTAGGGTTAAATTAAAATAGGAATCATTCTAACTAATTAATATTAAATTGTACTACAAAATTAAAAATTATCAATTTTAAATTTAATCTGTATTAAGTTTAAAATATTATAAAATTATTCAAAGAAGAAACTGAGGAAAAATATATATATTTTGTTATTTATTTTGTTTTAATTGAAAGGCCAAAAACTCAGAATAAACGTTAAAATATAATGTTGATGCAAAGCTTCGTTATAACTTAGATACATTTGAAGTGATGTCGACTGAACATGGAAGATTTTAGAGAACATAGAAACAAAAAGGACATTTATACTCAGAATCAAGAAACAATTGAAAGGGCATATCATGAGGACTTTGTGAATTTGACACTCACAGGACATATTAAAGGCAAGAGAGACAATGGAAAGCGGGGAATAAGTTACATGATTAGCTTATGTAAATGGTTAGAAGAACAGGGATTAGAAGAGATAACAAAACGACAACCTTACAAAGGATATGAACTTGTGATGAGCCATGATCGCCTACAATCTGGGACGGCATATACCGGGTGTAACAGCAAAATTGTTCAATTGTCAGATTAAGCTTTGAATCGTTGTATCTTAGAAATGATTAAAGATTACTGGAATTCTCCGAGGTTTTTTTTTAACACTATTGGGCTCTATTTTGAGCAATAAGATGTATAGTTACTCTCCAAGCTTAACAGAAGTATCGTGAGGAAATCGATCATAAACTAAAATAACATGTTCATCATTAATTTATCATAGGTAAGAATCGGAGGCTCATGAAGGACTAAAATAAAGTTCAAATATATATATATATATATATATATATATATATATATATATATATATATATATTCCAATATTTTTGAGATTTTGTCTTCGCCCTCTAAACCTTCTAACTTTCTGTCCTGGAGTAAGAATGTGCCTCATAAGTTCACGTACGATTTCATTTTCAAGTTTTTTTTCAGTGTTCTTTGGACTGTCATAACTAAAACTTCTCTTTCACGAGCCAAACGTCTTATGAACTGAGTTGAATCTTTTCTAATTGTTCTCTAAGTTGAAATGATGATCCCTCTTCTGGTTGTGACATCCTGGTCCAGTTTTCCTTTCTATTGTTACCTTTTTTTTAAAAATTTATTCACCGTTTTCCTGATGGTTCTTGAAAGGACTTTGAAAATTGAAGCCAGAGTATGTATGTTGGTACCATTACTGAAGGCCTGAATGGTATTTTTCTTCTGAGCATTGGGAAGACAGTGGGTGTGACACAAAACAATTTTAACCTTCTCTCTTTTTAGCTGAAAATCTCAAAGTGTTTTTCGGTGATTCTTACAGTAAATGGTGTCAAGATAGTTAAACGTCGTATCTGAAAAGGTGGGCAAAAGAAACTAAATTAGTTTAGCGTTTTTTTTTTTAGATATTTAACGTTTTGTGGAATGGATAATTATACTGCTACACAATCTGGACAATTCTGCTGTTATACCTGGTAGAATAATATGAATAAAAATAAGATGCTGAGTAGAAATTAGCTACAACTTCTACGAGAAAGTTCGAATATTCTGGCTGGACCAGTAATGGAACAAAGGACAGTACGCTCAAACCCTCTATCATGATGACTTGTGACTTTGTGCTAGCACATTGGCAACTCGGTCTCACCGTTTTACAGCTGAACTAGCAAGATGCAACTGTATGTTTTATTCTAATAGGTTTTTTCTTGCACTTCTCGCCTGTGAGACTTCATTCTTATTTCTTGTTTCCTTGCCATTTAAAATCATCACAAATTTAAATGCAGCGTCAATCGCCATCTTCTGTTTTCCTGGAACCTTTTCTTTTATGTCCTTTCGTCACATTTCGTCAGTAAAGTTTTCTCATTCTCTTTCACTCTCTGTAACCCACCCCCCTGCGTCCTAGTGTCATTATCACCTGAAATGATTAAAAAAATACAACCTCTTCTAAACAGTTTTGTATCCGAGATGTGGCACGAGGCCGAAAGTGTAGAGTACGCAGTGAGGATCTAACTCCCTACTCAGTCGTAATTGCTCTAGAGAGATAAGTCTGTTAGCTATTACGTCACGCAGAAGCGTCCCTATGTTTACCTAAGCATGGCATAAGGCCAAAAGAGTAGAGAACGAAATGAGGACCGAATTCAATACTCAGTTGTAATTAATCTGGTACAGACAAGATTGGTAACCGTTACACCATGTCGAAGTACCCAAATATCGGTTTTCATGATAGGAACTCTAACGTTTTAACCCTTCGGTCACCTACAAATTTATACAGACTATATTTTACAAAAATGAACAAGGCAAAATTAACGCATGCGAACAAAGATGTGAGAATATAGCCGCCATTTCTTTTTCGAATCAAATTTAAGAAGCTTAGGTATCGGCAGTTATTATCTTAATATTTTTTTCGAAAACAGAAAGATATAATGACGGGAAAATAGCTGATGTCATTTACTGCGAATGATGCCCAAAGGCTATATTACGATTGAAATGTTTTTGCAATCAACAACTAAAATAAGTTGGACAGATTGAATTAATGTTATTTTTTTCTTCTTCAGTTCATCATTTTATTAGTTGTCTTTTCAATCTGTTTTGAAATATTGGCAAAATGATTCGATCATTTCGTTCTTTCGTCCGCCTCTGGATAAAAAAACAAAATGGTGGCAAGCAAAGTGCAGATAAGAATGGAGAGGAAGAAAAGATGTGAAGGAGTGGAGTTACAGAAACAGGCGAAAAGATTAAGGTATAACAGATCGTTACACATACACATACACACACAAACACATATACACAGAGAGTGAGAGTGAGAGTAAGAGAGAGAGAGAGAAAGAGAGAGGGAGAAAGAGAGAGGGAGAAAGAGAGAGAAAGAGGAAAATGTTTGGGGGTGAAAGAATGGGAAAGGGAGAGAGCAGAGAGAAATATGAAAAAGTATCGATATTCCGATTAATTTCTTAATTGTATTGGCATGTAGGGAGAGGAGGTTAATAGTTAAAATAATGATATAATTACAGAAACTGATCTAGTGACTAAATGTCAGTCTGCTTATATACTCGAATATGATCGTCGATCTATCTATCTATCTATCTATCTATCTATCTATCTATCTATCTATTTATGCTAGGATATAATTGCAATTTCAGTTTATCTCAGTTCGTATATGATTATCTATCTATCTATCTATCTATCTATCTATCTATTTATCTATCTATGCTAGGATATAATTGGAATTTCAGTTTATCTCTGTTCGTATATGATTATCTATCTATCTATCTATCTATCTATCTATCTATCTATCTATCTATGCTAGGATATAATTGGAATTTCAGTTTATCTCTGTTCGTATATGATTATCTATCTATCTATCTATCTATCTATCTGCTCGTGTATTTATTACTATTTCAGTTCATCTATGAGAAATCAGAGAGCGTTGTTCGACTTGCAGTCTGGTTGGTTGCATTCATATTTTTTAATCATTTCACCCCAAGTAAGGTAACAAAGCCTCAAATACGCAGGTGGTTACTGACTGTAAAAGAATATAAGAAAACTTTATTAAGAATCGGGAACAATAAATGAAGAAAAATTACGAAGACGGAAGGTAACAATTGACATGGCATTTACATTTTTGAAGATCAAACTTGACTGGGGAGCAAGAAACCAAAAGAGAGTTCCACAGTCAAGAAGTGCGAGAAAAGAAACTATTAGCATAGAACTTACGGTTTTATTTGTAAAATGATGAGACCTCACCGCCAATCTAGTACTGCGCTTAGATTCATAGAAACTAGGTACCATAGAGAAAAGGTCATCAGAACAATTATCATGAAAATATTTATAGAAAAAGCACAGGAAAGCTACATTACGGCGGTGGGAAATTGACTGAAGCCGAGATATCAGGTCAGGACCAATAACATAGCAGATTCTTCTTTGGATTTTATCAATGATCGCTAAATAAATACCAGGACCACCAGACCAAATATGGTAGCAATATTCTAAACATGGACGAATGGTCAACTTGTAAATATATAAGATAGATTCGGGTGAGAAAAATTGTCTAGCACGACACAGAGAACTAACTTTTCTAGCACCAGACTTAGAATATAATCTTTCCACTTCATCAGCGGAAGGCGTTAACCCGAGAAGGCGCAATGAGTCACTCTCCTGGAGGTTAGCATCAGCCATGTTGATGAAAAGGTTATCTCAGACATCGAAAAGAGAGCTGCTTCGTTTTAAAGGCTTTATTTCTGAATGTAGCTAGTTTTTGAGACCAGTCGCCAATTTGACCTTATCGAACCGATCAGACTTACTATTAACAGGAGTAATTATTTGTGTCATCAGCATAGATATCAAGTTGAGAACTGATGACATCAGGACGGCCATTTATGAAAATCAGAAACAATGTAGGTTCAAGGATAGATCTCTGGGAGATACCTGCATTAATGCAAAAAGATCTTGAAGAGGTTGAAAGTAAAATCCGGTGACTTGACCCTAAAAGTTGTGAGTTCAATACCTGGGCATAGCAGAGGTGAAAAAAAAAAAAAAAAAAAAGAGAGAGAGAGTTGAGATTAAGGGAAATAACTGAAAATATATATCCAAAAAGGCATGGCATGTGGAACGAGGAGAATCTACCAAAGTGGACCAAATAAAGGCTTTGGTTCGAAATTTCAACGTATTTCACCTGAAGAAGGCCTGAGCGTACAAAGACCGAAACGCTGTGAATATGGCAATAAAGACGGGGACAACACTCTGGACAATGTAAATGATATAAATCTAGAAGAGTGTCTGTTCAAGATAACTTTCATTTTGCGATTTGGTAAGAAAGACTGAAACAGTTCTAGATTTCGTTTAATTTGTGTATGCCAGACCCATCTACGCCTGGTAAAGTTACAAATCGATCTCCCCACCAGATATGGGTTAAATAGTAGGACTTGTATTTGGGGGAAAATGTTATTCTCCAAAGACTGTTAATTTAATACTTCTAAATTATTTTTCAGCCTTAAATAAATCAAATCATTCAGTCCAATTCAAGTCGAAAATAAATGTAACAGCCTTTTTTTTCTGATCTTGGCGAGGCGAAAAAGGGTTAAAAATAGGAAATCGATTTATTCCAGTTTTCATTAACTCATATATACGTATGTATAGGCGTGTAATCGATTTGTTAGAATGTTCGCTTTCCGACATTAACCTAATCAGGATTATTTATTCGGAAGGTGACTTCTTGATGTCATCGGTCTGGTGGGGGGCGACCTTGACGAGAGGCACCATTGGAATGGGTCTGAAAACGAGACTTTCGCAGTGAAGTTGTAGCAATACCATCGACGGATGGTATTGCTAGCACGGAATCACAAGTCATCGTGACAGAGGGTTTAAGCGTGCCGGTGTTGTTTAAACTGCTGATCATGTCAAATTATGTGCTCTATATCAGAAACTTTAACTAAGGCACGCTCAGCATAGATGCAGTATAAACGAAAGGTGGGTTCTATGGGTATTGCACAAACATAAGTATGCCTGTACATGTGTCTGCGACAGGGATTGGCTAGCTTGTTCTAGCAGGCGGTTGTGCTCGGAAAACGAGAATAACTTGTTATTATATGTGCATGTTTATGTTTTCACGTGTCATTTCTGTAATTGAGCTGCACAGGAGACAGGACGGCTTCCGTCTGTGCACGTACACGCATGTCTACCTGTGTATATTCGCTTGTGCGTCGGAGAGTGATATTCTCTTTGCATCGGAGTGCACACAGGAAATGTGCGTAAATATGCTAGTACGTAAACTATCCCTTTCTTTTTACATTAACTCAACTAATTTCTGTAGATTGTTGACCATAAAGCCTTGTCTTGATCTTCCTTGTCTCTATTCGTTTTGTCTTTAAATGTAAATACGTAGACTTCAAATATGGTCGCGGTGAAACTTACTCCGATTGTCAACCGATTGTTACTTAAAACTTGAAAAAGCTCCCAATTGCATATAATGACTTTACCATCGGGACATGTAATATTAGTAGACTTGTGAATAAAGAAAAGCATAAATTATTGGCTCGGGATATTGATAATTACAACATTAATATATGTTGTCTCCAAGAAACCAAAATCAAAGGAGGATTGATATTAATATCGGAGTTCGACAGCACAAGTTTATAGCTTTGGAAATATACAAGCTAGGCCAAGAGTTTCCATACATAGAAAAAAATAAACATTTTATGTTGCACAAACGTTTTTATTTACATAATGTGCTCTATATGATTATATTTTGAAAGCACATGTTGATGAACACGCATTAGCAGAGTTAAAGTTATGCTTGTAATGGGGTTGATGATACGTTCCTTGAGATGAATTATGTTGTATCTTCACCTGATACACCATAGACTTCAAGTGCTCTCAAATATAGAAATCAGGGGGTTATATAAGGGGATCTCGTAGTCCACTTCACAGGACCGGCGCCGACCAATTCAAGCATCCATTAATACCAAATCGAAGAATAACGTCCATAGACATTGGACAAAGAACCATAATATAAACACTAAACAACGACATTAAAAGAACCATCAAAAATTTGCATCGTTCCTCTAAAATCTTTAAAGAGTTCATAAGACTTTCAACATTTTTGTGAGTTAGGCAAGGACAACGAGGTTTGGAGAGGACTGATAAGGGTCATTTACAAAGTTGGTAAAGATGTGAAATCAAACTGATTTACAGTGTGCCATCAAGCCTTTCTTTATTTTTCGTAATTTAATAAAAGTTAAACATGCCATTATTTATATTAGGCTGATGCATAATTATCAGGCGTTTTTGTAGTCGAGTTTGTTTGCTAAAAATTGCTGTTTTGTTTACTTTTTTTTAATAAAAGTTTTATTTTCAGGTTATAAAAATGCGTGCTGATAATCATACGGCCCGGAATAATCATTTGAAGATATTATTGTTGAATTGTTGTTTCTTTTTTCATGATAAACATTGTTTAAAAAACGCCTGATAATTATGCACCAACCCAATAGTTTGCCAAAACATAAACCATCAATCTGTCACTGGGTAGCATGCCACTAGCGTTTGCCACTGATGGCCCGCTGTTGGCTGTCGCCAGAGGATTGCTGGCGTTGCCATCGGTGGCCCGCCAGCAGGCCACTAGCGGCTTGCGTGTAGGCTTTTTGTATATAATATATTCAAAAATCATAAAACTACGGTTTAAAAATGAATGTTTTCGTTTTTATCTTGTTTGGCGGGCATATTGGTGCAGCTGATTAAGGGCGAAAAGAAGATGGAAAAGTAACAAGTCTGTCGTCATTTATAATTTATATTGTACTGTTTGATAAGTAATGAGATGGCTTTAGCTTTCGCCTCGCTGTGATGAATATATCTAAAGAATGTATCTATTTATCTATCTTGTATTTTTTGATTTTCATATTCAGGTTCTATTTTCGGATTACGCAATACGAACGTCATTTCTGTCGATAGAGATTTTTTTTTACCGAAAGTTAATCACAGACAAAATGTATTTATTGTGCATTTTGTCATAAATAAAAGATGGATTTGACAATTTTTGAATACATAAATGCATATATACATGCACACTCACGCGCGCGCGCGCACACACACACATATATATATATATATATATATTTACTGAAAAGTTATGTATGACAAAGAAGCTAATACTTCAGTTTTTTTTGACGTTTTACCTTCCTTCTTTTCATTGATTGAACAAGGCAGAAAGGAAATCGTGTTCCGCTGACACGCGCATTCTACAAATACACGTACATAGGTAAGCAGTCATCTAGAAATATATACATACATTCATATAAATACATAAGCCTAATCATTTATATTACGTGTGCGTAAAAGTTAACAACGCTTTTTGTTTTTTCTTGTTTATAAATAAAAAAAAACAAAACTTTTCTCTTGCGAATATTGTGTAGATTTTTTTTCTTTTTAGCCGGCGTTTGGAAGATTTGCAAACACACATATGTGTGTGAGTAAATAAATATGAAATGTATGTAAAAATTCAGATATAACTGTAAAAAGACAATATAAATAAAGACAAAAGGATTTTATTACTTAAATAATTATTTAAATACTTGAAAAATAAAATGCTTACCTTGATAAAGTTGCAGAGGACGAAACGCGTCGGCTAAACCTTTCGTCTTTATTCGTATATATATATATATATATATATATATATATATATATATATATATGGAGAGAGAGAGAGAGAGAGAGAGAGAGAGAGGGGGAGGGAGGATGTCTTTAAATATAAGCGCTCTCTTTCCGATATTGAGCACGCTCCACTTTTAAATATACCCACTTTTAAACAATAGATATCCATACATATATACAATTTTTTTTTAATTATTTCACACCAAGCAAGGCAATAATGCTACTACGACGCCAGAGGATACTGGGGGGTGGATGGGTAAAAGAGAATGACAAGACTTTAGTGAGGACAAATGACAATA